TGCATATGCGCACATGCACACGGTCGTCAACGTGTTAACTACGCACTTTGAAAAGGAAAAAGATGGAGTCTCTCGATAGGGAATTTTAAGAAAAACAAAATCAAGAGTACGTATTTTATGAAAATGCTAAATAAAAATTAGATGATTTCGATATATGTACGATATAGAGAATCTAATTGTGCAGTAAGAGGACACACCTGAGTTTTCTCTCCCCATTCCTTTTCTAGGGCATCAAGACACTCTGGAAGAAGCTTCTCAACTAGTGGGAGGTCTTTCTCGCGGCACTGGAGGGTAACTTCTTTCTCAAGAAGTTGTAGCATAGCCTAAACTCACTCATCATCAGAGAAACGGTCAATGAGTGCAAAAATAAGTTTTCAAGGAACAAACAAAACATACCTGCATGATGAGACCCTTGAGAATTGAAGGATAACGAGCTTGATCACCAGAAATCTTCGACAAATTCATCCTTGCCTCTTCAAGTACATTTCTGATATGATCTTCTCGTGCCTAGAAGTTTTCATGTCATTGAGAGTAGAAGTTGGACATTCAAGAGTTGGTAAACAAACCTTCAGACACATCAGACGGCCCTCATTGAGGGAGTTTGATGACTGAATTTTTCGCTGCAACTCGACTTGTTTCTCCTTCTTCTCATAGAATTCCATGATCTTCTGACGTTGCTGTTGAACAAGTCGTCCCTGAAAAAGGAAATAAATCTCAAAACAAGTTCAAGAAAAATAGAACGCAATGTTTTGTGAGTATTTACAAAATCATGACCTTACCACAACACTTTTTATTTAGTAAAGACTTCAAATGATTCTTTTTTGAATGTCAGCAACTTGGAACTCAAAGCCCAAAAAACATTATGCAAACACTCCGAGTTCTGGGAAAAAATGCAAATCGTCTCAATGAAAAAAAGTGAAACAAATTAAAAATTTCAGTGCTTAGAGGAATAGGAGTTGATAAAAATGCAAAATCAACTTTCACTCACCTTCTCAATGTTGAATTCTTCTTCAGCTTTGGCGTCAATTTCTTCAGCCTTCTCATTAGCCTCCTGCTCGATGAAAGCCATCATGTGGCGGAGTTGCTTCTGTACGTCGTTGTCGGAGATGCCCATCTTGTCTGTTTGTAGCTACGGTTTGACCCTGAAGCGATTGAGGAGCTACAGATGTATCAAATAACAGTGAATGATGCTGGTAGAAAAGAACAA